TCGAGAGATCGTGTATGTGTGTCTGTTCGGAAGCGAATGTATTTTGCCACTCACTTTCAACTCAGCAACCAAGAAGGTTGGGAGGTTGAAATTTTAGAGTCGTATTCCCACCCCGCCTATCATCTTCCCGTTTTAAAATCTTCGCAATCCGTGCCTAAATCTCGCGTACGAAACCCCGAAAAAAATATGCGAAGTTTTTTGACGGTGAACAATTTCGTGAACCGGACAAGGTAGAAAGCAGCAACTTCGCGTGGATATTTTTTATGCATGTACGAGCTAAAGATTTCAAATTCAGCTGTTGAACACACTTATACGGTTCGTACAATCACGTCAAAGTTCGCAGTTGTCTGTGCTAACTTGAAAACTAGCCGAAAAACAGTAACTGAAATTTTGTCAAAATATATATTGTTCATATGAAAATCTGTAAGTCTAAACTGAGCTTCGATTTGCACTTGCGCCACGACTTAAAAGTATTTGTAACGAAGTGTCTATTTCGCTTACCAGACAAGCTACGACGCTGAAACTTTGCAGTGGTATTCTATATTCACTTGTGGTCTTAATTCAGTTTGAAGATCAAATTCCCTATATGATAAATACTTAGTTTTACCGCAAACTCAAAAGCGAGTGCATTTTGCGGAGTGCAAAATTTGAAAATTTGCCTTTTTTCGATGTACGAGCATTCATCGGAAAAACAACCGAGTTTCATGCAAAAAACTGATAATCATGTCCGCTGAAGGCCTATGCGACCCCATAATGAAAAACCTTCATCTCAGCTGTCGCCCTTTCTTCCTGCATGTGGAAAGAGGCAAAAACACAGCCAATACTGGTCCAAGCGTTAAATCATTGGCGACGTGCACCAGGCGGGCCCTACGATTATGCGTTTTTGCAGTATTTCGTGCTGTAGTAAGATCGTTCGGAAACTCGGTAGCTAGAATTTGTGTCATAATGATCTTCGAAGTTGGGGAAGTTGATTGTGCAACTACGCTGTACTTGAACAAGAAACATTACATTAAAATTTTAGCCTTCCAACTTTTCTGATTCCCATGTTAATAATTTTCCCACCAAAACTTTGGCGAGTCCGTTCGTGGGAACCATGAATAGAGGGTGGGGGCGAAGGACGGGGAGGGGGGGAGGGGAGGCTGAGTTTGAAGTCTCCAAATTGTACGGAAGTTGGAAATATCATTTTAAAATTTCAGCCCCCTAGCTTTCCTGGTTCTCGAGTTAGCAGTTCTCTCGCCAAAAATTCCATAGGGCTGTATGTGAGAATCACGCACTCCTGGGGGCTGAATTTAATACCTTCGAATTGTACGAGGGATGAGAAAATCGCCTTAAAATTTTAGCCTCCCAACTTTCCTGATTCCCGAGTTATCTATTTCCCCGCCAAAACTTTCACGTGCTCATATGCGGGACCCAGACATGCGTGAAGATTGATACCGCGGTCCTGGGGTGGCACTTGACCGGGGAATCCACTGGCAAAATTTTAGCGTCGGAGATTGCTTGTTTGCCGAGTTGAAATAAGCGGACAGACTTACACACATACACACACACAAACACACACATAAACACGCACACCGGTGTCGTCACAATATGTGTTTTTGCATTTGCATATATGCGAAAACGCATACGTGACCATTTCTGCTGTTAGCAATCTGCAAATGTCGCGCAAAAACGCATGATCACACTGGTAAGACTGGTGCGTTGCAGCCTGGGTCTGTTTCGGTGGTAAATTAGTAATGGTATATGCCAGAGAGTCAAATCTGCCATCAGCTTGCTTCTAAGCAACCCTTAGAAAAGGAAGCTATCAACAGTCCTGCCAACGGATGGCTACTGTTGGCACTTGCTGATCTCAGAATACATCCAAGTCATTTTGCCTGTGGTAGAAGGTGAATACGGAGGAAGTTTTTGACTCTTGGTTATCTTCAAGTAAATGCCGGCATAATCACCTGGTATATTTCAGAATTTCTGACTTTTTTACTCCCGTGTCGGAAGACTGCAATTATTCTTGTGTTACCTGATACTCCCTGCAGTACTGAAGACCGATGTAAATTTTCCAGAAATCAGCCTTTTAAGGTTTAATTGACATGGCTTTCTGCAGGCAAAATTCCAAATTGGTTTTTTTTTTTTTTTTAACAAATGAACCAGGGAATTTCTTACATTGTCGTTAAGGCAGACTGAACGAAAAAAAATTTCTTTTAAGAATGCTTGAATTTTATCTGTGCCTCTTGCCTTCGTAGATAGTGTTGCGCGCCTACAGAATTTTCGAATCATCTTTCGGCTATATCCAACTGTCGTTATGCTCGACCCTAAATGATTTCCGATGAAGTTCGAGAAGCGAACAAGCAAGAGGAGGCTTCGAAAAGGGGTTTTCTGATGTACCACATTTTCATAGCAACACAGTTGATAGAAAGGTATGGAGAATGGGAAATTTACTGTGTTTGTCGGACACAGTAAATTTCGACTTGGTGAAACAAAGCGTTGTACTTCAGGTCTTTTATACCAAGAAATCGATTCGTTGATATCGCAGTTATTAAAGACCCTCTCTTGGCCATACACAGAAATCATCCCTTTGGGCAAGCTTGTAAATTAGAGATCGGTAGAAGTGTGAAGCAAGGTGACACTCGTTTCTCAACACTTTGATCAACGCAGTTGAAAACATCGCGAAAAATCAAAACAGCAGATAGTTTTTGTATCAGTGGTGAATTATTCTCAATACTTGTTTGCAGGCAGCATTGTACTCATTGCAAAAAAAATCTGCAGGCGTTACAGGACCGATTAAATGAGTGTACTGCTAGTGCGAAAGAAACAGAATTTCAAATTTAGGGTAGAATAACCAAGTGGATAAAGAATGCGTATTGTGTCTAGTTTGACGTGAGACTCGACAGTCAGTCCGCTGAATTCGCGGACAGTTGTACCTGTTTGGAACAAACTGTACAGATGGATAACGGGTTGGACAGAATGAAAGAAGTAGGATAAATTGCCTCCAACAATTTATGAGGCGTGTTTTGCAACATTAATGTAGCGTCGACTGTGAAAGCGATATTCTCTGGTTCCACTATGTTACTTTTGCCGTTATATGGAAATGAAACATGAAATTCCACGCTTACTGAGGACAAAAAATTAGTGGTGGCCCAATGGACCTTTAAACGACGCTAGGAGCAGATATCAGCAAGTTGCAACACATCATTTTCAGTGAAGTAATTTTGCATCGGTTTAATATGAGCGATATTGTTAAGACAAGATAAGTCAGGAGGGAAGACATGGGCTTGTCAGTGGCAAGAATGGAAGACAACAAGCGGACAAAGCGAACTGTCGAGCGGCACCCACAAGTGTTGGAAGAACACGGGAAAGGTTGTCACTGTAGCAGAAAAATCCATTTAAAGGCCTGTTTTGAATGCTGTACATGAAGGCATAAAACAGAAAAATAGTGTTGTTAGCTGCATCAGTGACTAAGAGGAACGCGACGGTAAAATGTACAGCTGATTGACGTAACTTTCTTAGGCTATGCAAAAAATATATTAAAATAATTTTTCAGGAAGACCGCTAACTAGAAAAATTTCACTTTTCTTTTTTTCAAAGTAAGTTTGAACTTTCCTGTCTCTCTGCAATGAAATTTCCCAGATGGATTTTGCATCGTTCTGACTGTATTTTGCAATTTCACTCAAATTTTACACTCATTTGGCCAAATTCCTTTTTGGATCATTTTTGCTGTTCCTTGGCTGTCATTTGCGGCCTCCTCTTCCCTTTCTCGTCCCTGTCTATTCGTATTTTTCTTGTAGCCTGGAAGTTTACAATGCTGCCACAGTAAATTCATCGAAGCAATTGCCAAAGCGAACTAAGTTTATTTGGACAGCACCTTATGAGTTTCTAATGACCTTTAAGGAAAAGATGTTTCGTGACGGATGGTTCGAATATCAGTGGCGAGCAGCTCAAGCACCTCGGGCTTCTCGGGTGTTACAGTTTTCACAACGAAAAGCACTTAGAAAATGAACTGGCATACTGCAGGAGCCTAATGCCCGACTGAAGTGGATTTGAAAAAAAAAAAAAAAAAAAAAAAAAAAA